TCACATGTTCCTGAAAAGATGTTGCTGTTGAAGATACCTCCCAGCTTTGTTAAATAGGAAAGAGGGACAAAAGCCCTGGCTGCATTTATACGAACCATGAAGATTCACGCACAAAAATTATTGGCCCAACCCAAATTTTTTTTTTTTGTGTCCCTACTTTTCCTTTGTATTGGCCTTTTAAAATACCAAATAGAATTATTTAAAATTTAGATAAAAGGTTTAGCGCAGTAAAAAAAATTTACAGAGACATCACATCCAGCTTAAAAGACAGACAACTGAGCAAGGAAAGGGAAAGAGGGACATTCTCTCCAAATGAGGGCCAGTTTAACGGTATTGTCTCTTCTTCTACCAACATGCTCTTTGTTAACGCATGAACACAACAGCACAGCTGATGGCAACTTGCGCTGCTCCTCCTTCTTCCAGTTTGAGGTTTGATATACTGGTATTGCAAAGAGGCTGTTGAATGTTCCTGATAGGAGCCTGAGATGATGAGGTTGATCTCTCTTGTATCTCCAACCCAAGCCCCACTGAGAGTGAAAAAAGACGGTGCTAAAGGACAAGAGGTCATAGTAGAGCTTGCCGCTGGAGATGCAGGCTTGGTAGAACTGGTTTTGGGTCAGAAACAGAAGCTCTGCAGGACGGACCAACCAGAGTTAAGAAGGAATGCCACATGCACCACAAGTTCAGGAAGCATGGATTGTCAGTGCTCCCAACAGGCTTGTTGCAGAAACCCACTGTGATGGCTGAAGCAGGTGCAGATGACTGCCAGGTTAGGCACTCGGTAGTAACGTAGAGCTGAAACAGAAACAGGAGCGTGGTTATACAAGTAGCCGAGGTCAGCAGAAAGGTACACAAGCATAGTCAGGATCCAAATCTTAAGCAGAGCCCAAGTCAGTAAAGGGTAAACAGCAGCAAGGGCAAACTCAGAGTCAAAGACAAGCCGGATCAGTAATGGAGGACACACACAGGACACTAGCAGGACATGGAAAATAGCTGAACACCAGTCAGCACTGAACCTGGATAAGAGCATCCTTTAAATAGGCCATCTGGCACCAACAAAGACTGTGGGTGGTCCAACATCTGTGTACATTCCTGGTCACAGTTTTATGAGCAATACCAGACACATGAGCATGTCCCTTAGCCAGTCTTCGTACAGAAATTCTCTGACAGGCTGCTACCAAATTATTCTGGTCATATATGGATCTTTTTTTTAATCAGCCAGTCATTTTTTTTTTTAAGCAAACGGATTCCTCCATTCACACAGTTAAGGTGTTAAAAAGAATTCCTCCCTGGGGTAGTATTGTATTCTGACTATGGTGCTGCAGCCAAACACGGATTTTTCAACAGGTCCCATTTAAGAGGAGTCAACGGTGGCATCATAGAAGGAGAAAATTTTACATTTTGCCCAAAAGTCCTCAATGGCCACCAAGGTCCAGGAGACCAACTATAAACTTCTCACTCGATATGATACCGGGTATCCACCAAGCTCCATCACATCTCGCCTCAGTTCTCTAGTGCCTGCTGGCACTGTGGATCAGATAGTAGCACCTTTATCCACATTTTCTGGCAATGCCTGAAGCTCCAGTCATTCTGGCAAGGGGTAACTGATATAATCAAACAACTTACTGCCATGGACCTGCAAGGCCTGTGGCCTGCCTCCTACACTTGTCCGGAAGACCCACAAGGAATATAAGGCCTGCATCCCACTCCACTGGAAGGGAGTTCTACCCCCACATTCTCTCTCCTCTCACTCTATCTCCAAGGTGAATGAACTTAGGGACATGAAGGACCTCACAGCCACCTTGTGTAATAAAGAAGAGACCTTCCGTGACACTTGGCGTCCTTGGCAATATTTTGACTTTACAGATGCCTATCTGAATGAACTTACTCCTCTCCAGTGAGGTTCACTCCTTTTGACCCTTTTCACACTCCCCAGGAGAGGATGCATGACCACTGTGCTTTCATCTGCTTACCCCCTACCTTTCTTCCTTCCTTCTACCTCTTCCCCCTTCTTTCTCCCTCCATTCTCTACCCATCTGCCATTGCTTCTGTGGGCTCTATTCCCAGTCCCTTCCTTAACATCAGGCTGTTCCTGTATAGAGGGTCGACAACATTCCCCTTGCGGTTTTATAGCCTACAGCTTATTGGTAAGCAGGGGTGGACTCACCATTTGGAAACTCGGGCACTGCCCGAGGGCCCGGGGTCAGTAGGGGGCCCCATGAGATGCCCCTGGTACCTTTTTCATAGGCTTTTTTGAGTTTGGGCAAGGAAACAGGGGCCCCATGATCCCCTATTGCCCGGGGGCCCCATGAGTTGTCAGTCCACCCCTGTTGGTAAGCTTCTACCTACTTTAGTGATTGCCCTAACCTCTTATACCTCAAGGTAATTTCTAAATACTAACTATATATGACTTGTCCATGATGATTTTTTACTGGCTATTACAATTTTTATCTCACTTTTTGCACAATATAGCACTTTCTGGCAATGTTATTCAGAGTACTTCCTAAGATGCTATTCGGTTTGCCTTCTTTGTGCATGATATTTGTGCAAAACACCAAAAAAAGAGGAGCTGATCACTAAACTGACTCCTCTCAAAGAGGAATAACCCCACGTGGATCGCAATTCGGTCAATGGCTGCTGAACAGGGACGGACTGACAACTCATGGGGCCCCCGGGCAATAGGGGATCATGGGGCCCCTGTGCCCTTGCCCAAACTCAAAAAAGCCTATGAAAAAGGTACCAGGGGCATCTCATTGGGCCCCCTACTGACCCTGGGCCCTCGGGCAGTGCCCGAGTTTCCAAATGGTCAGTCCGCCCCTGCTGCTGAACTAACCAAATTTCTATCCTCTACTATGAGGGCTCTCAAAATTTGTAGCATTAGGACAACAGAATATCGGGGTGCCGTGACGTGGCTCTGTGGCTTACGTATGTATTTGCAAATGTGTGCTAACTAAACCCACATTTTTAGACAGGTTAATTTGGTTGTTGGCTAGCTGGCTGGCAAGTTGAACTGGGTATTTTCTTTTCTTTTTTTGATACTTCCTAAGATAGTATTCTGTTTGCCTTCTTTGTGCGTGATATTTGTGCAAAATACCAAAAAAAGAGGAGCTGATCACTAGGCTGACTCCTCTCAAAGAGGAATAACCCCACGTGGATCACAATTGGGTCAGTGACTGCTGAACCAGACAAATTTCTATCCATTTATGGCCAGCTTTATTAAGCTACTTTCTATACACTGCTTGCATTTAACAAATGCTTTCAACAATGTGTTAATAAATACAAAGCTGCAGTAATGTATGTCTCTTATAACTGTCTAGACTTTAGCTTTAAAAAAAAAAAAAAAAAAAATCTAGGTTTTATAGTGTTATGGTCTGCTCTTCGCTGACACCGCCGGTGGCACAAATTCACGTCATCTTGCTTTTTGTTGCTGCCATTTGCCCTAAGCACTGCAATTGAAGCCCCGCTGGTTTGGGTTACTTTTCTCTTCTTCACCTTCAGAAGTGCACCACTTTTAAAACATACTCAGTGCCATTTCTGTTCTTTGCATCTTAAAAAGAACTAAGAGGCGTATTTGGGATATTTTCAGCACACTGTATGATTTGCTTTTATACTCAGAAAGTAGATAGAACAAAAAAAATGTGATAAAGTGGGAGCTCAAAGAAGTTTGTCAGACGATTTGTAAGAAATGGAAGGATACAATACAATCTGCCCTATTCTGGGTTGCACACCTCCTGACCCGCTGACACTCTTCTCCGTAGTTCTGTATTAAATACAACCTTCCCCAGCACTCAGCCCTGTTTGCCAGGAAAAGAAACCCAATTAAAACCTGTTTCTAATATTTTAATAAAATCAGAGATCTCAGTTGGCACTCGTTTGGGAATATATGAGACAGACACATGCAGGATCAAAGTAGCTCTGTACAGTGTGTTCACTGATCTAATCCATAGAAGCCCCCATGCTAGGGATACATAAAGTATTGAAGAAAATGAGAGCAAGCTAACCTAGAGGTCAACCTCATAGCTTCCTTAAAGTGTATCTAAAGACAAAACCTTTTTATTTTAAGTTTTGGGTATAGTAGGTAATTGTTAAATTCCTGTCCATGTATCTATTTCTTTCTGTGTCCCATTGGGGAGATTTTACATTTCCTGATCCAGGGACAGAGCAGATATTATTTTATTATTTATTTTATTTCAGGTACTTATATAGCGCCATCAATTTATGCAGCGCTATACATACAGTTACTGTAGGTCCGTATATATTTGGACACAGGCACAATTTTAGTTTTTTCAGGTATTTACCAACACATATTCAAGCTATAATTATATAATGGATATGGGCTGAAAGTGCACACTCTCAGGTTTAATTTAAGGGTATGTACATCCAAACTGGAGGAAGGGTTTAGAAATTACAGCTCTTAAGAGTAGCCATCCCCCCCCCCCTTTTTTCAAGGGACCAAAAGTAATTGGACAAATGAATATAATCATAAATAAAATGTTTATTTTTGATATTTTGTTGAGAATCCTTTTCACTGCCTGAAGTCTGGAACCCGCAAGCTGGCTCCAGACTCACTGGGGCTCAGTATTATTGTGCTGGATGCTGGACAGGTAGGTACTCCTAAAATTTTTATTTTCTCTGTGAACTATAGTTAGAGGCTCCCTCAGTTAGGTGTCAGGCCCAAAACATGTTGGCTATAAACCTTTGATCAAACGCTGCATAATCTGATAAGATGTTGGCACCCTGTAGCAATCTCACAGGTTCTGAGTGTCTACACAAGGGGAGACAATTACAGGTAAATAACATGCATACTATGGATCAAATACAGTACATACAGTATGTAATCATATGGAAAGATTTTTGTTGAACTGAAAAGGTGACAAGGTCTCTTTAACAGACGTCAAAAATGTGAAACCAACCTAATTGATTATCTTTTTCACCTACCACTCTGATGTCCTGTAGGGGAAAAGATTTAATAACTAATAAATGTTCTCTGATTGTTCCAGATGCATTCATTAAGACTACTAAGCCAAAACCAACCATCGCAGATCTTTTCCAGCATGAGTGACAACTATAGACCGGTCCAGCCCCTCAACAACCGCTGCATCCGAACCAATATCAACTTTAGTTTACAAGGGAGAGACTGTCCAAACAACAGAGCACAGAAAGTACAGTATAAAGGTAAGATTCATTAGCACAAGGATATAACTGATGACGTATTGCAAATACAGGGACCAGCAAAAACAATTATACTTATTACCTAATATTAGTAAGTTGCATTCAACTGGGCTTGTTCTATAATGTTGAAGATGTTTCCCACCTAGAGATGGTGTTGGGTGTCCTCTGATCTCTAACTTGACCTCTGAACTCTCACTTTTTTTGTGCTCCAATGAGCTGCCAGTCAGGTAATTCCTTGGTCATACCTGGGCAAGAGTAAAAGTTTGGGTTAGAGTTGAGTTTGGAGGACACCCAAGGTCATTTCTATTTCCAGCTTATCCAAGTGGCTCTCTCAAATGACTATACCTTGGAGGACACCCAAGCTCGTTTCTATTTCCAACTTATCCAAGTGGCCTTCTCCAATGATTATAGCTTGGAGGACACCCAAGCTCATTTCTATTTCCAACTTATCCAAGTGGCCTTCTCCAATGATTATAGCTTGGAGGACACCCAAGCTCATTTCTATTTCCAACTTATCCAAGTGGCCTTCTCCAATGATTATAGCTTGGAGGACACCCAAGCTCGTTTCTATTTCCAACTTATCCAAGTGGCCTTCTCCAATGATTATAGCTTGGAGGACACCCAAGCTCGTTTCTATTTCCAACTTATCCAAGTGGCTTTCTCCAATGACTATAGGGCAAATTGTGATTATCCAAAGACATGATGAGAAGCTTGTAAAACCATCTTGTTCTATTTACCTAAACCAGCTACAATGGTGCCATGAAGTCTGGAACATGTGTTGCTTGATTTACATGTCTGTATGAATCATTGTCAATTTGCTAGGATAGTTGTTAAAATGACATTATATGTGGAAGATGGTTCCACAGATGGTTTTGAAGGCCCCACCCATAGGATGGTTGATCCACTTTTGACATAGATGGCCTTTTTCATGCCTCCTGTGAACCAGTTGTCCTCTGTATATGTGTTGCCACAAGATCCTGTTGTATTCTCTACAATTATTATAAATGTATATAGATATGTTCCTGTGTAGCACCCTCCTAGGTACGTGCTAGGGTTAGATAGATATTATTAGTTGTTTTTGATAGGTAAATTTAGTTGTCACTCTACAGGCAGAGTGGCTGTAAATATTTGTTAGGAAAAGGCGTAGTTAGCTCACTGTACTTGGTGAGCTGTGATCATTTAGTTATGTCTGCTCTGTGTGCTCAGCTGCTGCCAGTCTTCCTAGCTTCCTCTGTACCCAGGAAACTTTAGAAGTATCTGGATGATAGGTGTGGAGTTATGCAGATGACAGCATAAATATTGATACAGCCTTAGCCTATCCCAGAGAGAGGGGCTCTAAGGCATGCTGGGTAATTGTATATATTCAGTGAGCACACAGGGCTCTGGGTTCTTTCCTGTTCAGGACAGATCCAGCCTGGGAGAGGGCACAATGCCCTCCTAGGCAACTTATTCCATGCAGCTTCAGGTGGGGGACCTAAGGGACTGCATGCTGAGACCTGGGTTCTGCTATGCTTACTGAGGGGGCTGTCTGCCAAAGATCTGGCCTGGTATCACGGAGGAAGGCATCCAGTGGTTCTTGGGCCTTGTGGGTACAGACATCCCTAAAGGATCTTAGAGATTGTGTGCTGTTTAACACCCTCTGGTGCTAGGAAGTCTAGCTACGGGTCTAGCAAAGGGAACTCCGGCTAGTGTTCTGAAGAGCTTTATCCCTCCGACTTACTTCCTAAAGGGACACTGCTCCTGGGCTGTAAAGAACTTACTACTACCACCACCATGACCTGAAGCTGAAGTCCACTGTTTGATTCAAGCAAGGGCTCCAACAGAGTTTATCCTGAAGATTAGATAAAGTCCTCAAAATGTATATAGTTCCTGTTTCTGGAGTATCCCACTCAACTCCCTCATCCCTATCCAAGTTCTCGGAAAATAAAAACAACACCCCTAGACTGGTTAGTAGTGAAACGAGTGAATGAGCCTATGTACCTGGCTGCAGGGCAAAGTATTTGGGTAAGACCTGGACAGTATTCCTGTGGCTCCTACAGGAGTAGTGCTACACCTGTGCTGTGTACCCCCTTCTGTTTTGATATTAGACTAGACCTTGGATAGATATTCCCGGCCTCTCCTTGGTCAGGATTATAATCTGTTTTACCTTTGAAGGAAGTTTCAAGATAGGAATGTATTTAAGCCTACAAGCTAAACTGTAAAAAACAACACTGGATCCTACTTCTGGGTCATCTTGTTGCCATACTGTCCATATAGACAGGGTCTGAGGAGGTATGTCTTCTTTATAAAGCGACAAATGAGACAGTGCATCAAGTCCAAAATGGGACATTCGCTGTGCTCAAAAAAATTGTTAATTCGCCTTAGACGTTGAATCCTGCAAAAGTGTGCCTTCCTAGGCTTAGTTATCTATTGTGAGGTTGTGGTCCGATCAGGGTCGGACTGACCATTTGGAAACTCGGGCACTGCCTGAGGGCCCGGGGTCAGTAGGGGGCCCCATGAGATGCCCCTTGTACCTTTTTCATAGGCTTTTTTGAGTTTGGGCAAGGACACAGGGGCCCCATGATCCCCTATTGCCCGGGGGCCCTATGAGTTGTCAGTCCGCCCCTGGGTCCGATGTACAGGTCTTTGTACTCTTTACCACACTGAACTACATATACTATCTATGTTACTTTGCTTGTCCTTGGACAATCAAAATATGGCCTGTCCTGTACACACGATGAGAATATCGGACAAACGATCGTCTGGTTTTTTTTTGCATGCTAGTCTCATATCAAAAGTGAAGAGGTTACTAAAAAGTAAAAAAAATTTTTGTACGACAGAATAAAAATTCGAAAGTGATGTAATATATTGTATTTGTATTGTACTTAATCCAAAAAATTATTGATTCTTGATCAATTCTTGAATTGATCCGATACTGCATCTGTCCCCCACCACCACTGCATTGAGAAATGAGCAATCAAACACTGCTGATCGCTCAGTTCTCCCCCTCCGCTCTGAGCAGAGAGCTGTGACTGTCAGTCTCCATCTCTCTGCTCTGCTCCTCCAGCTCTCACTGGACCGCTGGGCTGTGGAGGGGGAGGGAACGGCTGGCTCAGGCTCTCAGCAGCTCGCTCAGAGGCTGAGCCAGCTTTTGGTCCAGGAATCTTTTCAGAGTCTGGACCAGCTGAGTGATGTTGAAAACGGGTCACAGGAGTGCAGAATGAACTGCACTCCTATGATCCGCAGGCGAAGTACAGCCAAAAATGTTTTGCCCATACTTCTTTAATATTCAAGTCAAAATAAACATATCTGCAAAAAATGCAGAAACAGCTCTGGCAGTAAAATGGTTAAAAAAAGGGCCAGAGATACTCTTTTGACTATATATCAAAACACTTGCTGACCGCAATACGTATATATACGTTAGCAAGTGGTATCTTTTTTTCAGGCGACAGTCGGATTTCTGATTAATCGCTTTCCAGCCACCCTACAGTAGAACCACTGCTACAGGGCTGCGCAAAATCACTTATATATACACGTGATTTGCATTTCCAGGTAGGGGGCACACGCCGCCATTGGTGGCTAGGAATGCCAATCACCAGGTCCCGGCCGGAGATTCCCCGCCGTGTAAGGCTGACAGGGGAGAGGCCTGTGTGTAAACAACACAGGTCTCTCTCCTGCCAGCAAGGACATGCTGCTTTGTATTTCTCTGCACAGCCTGTCTCCCTAGTAAAACACACACAGCACATAATGTAAAACAGTACACAGTTAACCCTTTGATCCCCCCAGATGTTAACCCTTTCCTGCCCCGTGTCATTAGTACAGTGTCAGTGCTTTTATTAGCACTGATGACTGTATTGGTGTCACTAGGGATGTCAGTGGTCAGTTCCCACCCAGTGTCAGAAGTGTCAGAATGCCCGCCACAGTCCCGCAGTCCTTTTATAAGTCACTGAACACTGCCATTACTAGTGACACCAAGCCAGTTCCCCCCCAGTGTCAGAATGCCCGTCGCAGTCCCATTATAAGTCGCTGATTGCTGCCATTACTAGTGAAAAAAAATATCCCAGTATATATAGCACCATGTGTAAACGCTACAACTTTCACGTAAACCAATTCATTTACATGTATTGGGATTTATTTTTTTTTAGCAAAGACATGGAGCAGAATAAATTTTGGCCTAAATGTATACAGAAATTTTATTTTTTTATTTTTTTTTTTTACTGGATGTTTTGTAGCAAAAAGTCAAAAATCATTTTTTTTTTTTCAAAATTGTAGGTCTTTTTTTGTTTATAGCGCAAAAAATTAAAAAACGCAGAGGCGATCAAGTACCACCGAAGGAAAGATCTATTTGTGGGGAAAAAAGAACCTAAATTTAATTTATGTACAGAGTTGCATGAGCGCGCAATTGTCAGTTAAAGTAACGGAGCACCATATCGCAAAAAATGGCCTGGTCAGGAAGGGGGGTAAATCCTCTGGAGGGCAAGTGGTTAAAGTGGTCCAAGCAGCTCATTAGACACTGGATTGCTTTCAGTAGTGGTCAGTCGCCAGCAGGGGCGGACTGACAACTCATGGGGCCCCCGGGCAATATGGGATCATGGTGCCCGTGTCCTTGCCCAAACTCAAAAAAGCGTATGAAAAAGGTACCAGGGGCATCTCATGGGGCCCCCTACTGACCCCGGCCCTCGGGCAGTGCCCGAATTTCCAAATGGTCAGTCCGCCCCTGGTCGCCGGTGTTTCTTGGGCTTACCATTTCAACTAGCGTGCCCAACAAACAATCCGACGGCGAGGCCAGCTGGTCACAGAGCCGATGAAAGACTATCATTTCTAATCGCTTCTATGGCCTTGGGAGACCGAAGCGTCATAAATACTTCGCTTCCGGTCCTGGGTGGATGTAAACAATTTTTTTTTTTTTTTAAAAGCAAAAGATCAAAACATTTTTTACTTTTTATCTTTTGCTTTTAAAAGGTAAAAGGAGAGATTTGGGGTCTATTTTCTATTTTCTATTTACATTCCTTGTAATAGGAATAAAAATTATAAAAAAAAAAATAGGCACAGTGTAAAAATAAAAAATACAATATATTAAAAAAAAAAAAAATTAAAGCGCCCCTATCCTTCCATGCTCGCGCGCAGAAGTGAATGCAGTCATTATTATTATTATACAGTATTTATAAAGCGCCAATGGTTCGCTCAGCGCTGTACATTACAAAGGGGGACAGAACATGTGACAGAACAATACCAATACAATGCAAAACATGAGCGGATTGAGGGCCCTGCTCTTTCGAGCTTACAATCTAGGAGGTACCCACGCACGCGAGGTATCGCCATGAACGTTAGAGCAAGAGCAATAATTCTAGTGCTAGACTTCCTCTGTAACTCTAAACAACTCTAACTTGCCATTCCACGAGTGTACACAAATTTAAAGCATGACATGTTAGGTATCTATTAACTCGCCGTAACATAATCTTTAATGAAAAAAACACACTATATACTCCAATTTTTTTTGTGAAATATGAAAGTGTATTTCTTTCTAAAAAAAAAATTGCGTTTAAAAAAACCTGCACAAATACTGTGCGACATAAAAAATTGCAACAGTCGCCATTTCCTTCTTTAAAAAAAATATATAATGTTTAGGGGTTATAAGTAATTTTTTAGCAAAAAATACGGATTTATGCAGGCCATAGACGGGTCGAAAATCGGCCGATTTTTCTTAAAAAAAAAAACGAAAAATCGGTCGTTCAAGTGGCCGACGTTACCAGCAACGGTAAAAAAAAAAAAAATCGGATGATTTTCATCCTGTCTACAGCCGGCAAAAAGTGTCCCTGCAGAGAGCTCCACTATTTCTTTGACAGTTCCTTGACATTTATAGCGGTTTGCAACAATGTATCTATTTGTATCCATTTAGGATACAGATGTTTTTATTCGGAAACAAATAGATACAATGTTGCAACCGCTATAAATGTCAAGGAACTGTCAAAGAAAAAGCGGAGCTCTCTGCAGGGACACTTTTTGCGGACTGGAATTCTTCTTCTTCTTCCTCTTCCTCTTCTTCTCTTCCCCTTTTCCTTCTTCATCCTCTTCATCCTCTTCTTCTTCATCCTCTTCTCCTTCTTCATCCTCTTCTTCTTCATCCTCTTCTTCTTCTTCATCCTCTTCTTCTTCTTCATCCTCTTCTTCTTCTTCATCCTCTTCTTCTTCTTCATCCTCTTCTTCTTCTTCATCCTCTTCTTCTTCTTCATCCTCTTCTTTTTTCTTCTTCTTTTTGTCTTCCTCTTGCAGGTCACGGCTCATGCGCAGATTTTTTTTTATCGGTAACAGATCGTCCGATTTGCCCATCATTGCCACGAAAATCGGCCGATCAGCAAAATTGGCCGATTTTTTTCCAACTTTACCGATAAAAAAAATCTGCCAAAATACCGAAAAAAACGGCCGAACATTTAGCCCACTAACAATCCGAAAATCGTCCGATTTTATTTTCGGCCGAAAAATTGGCCGATTTTTGACCCATCTATGGCCTGCATTAAACTACCAGAAAACGCTTGGTCTTCAAATGGATAGTTACAGTCGGCGTAATGTACTAAGCATGTTTCAATAATGCTACTGTAACCCTGCTTATTAATAGCTTACTTTGCCCGCTTCCCATTTGTGCTGATATGATAAGAGCGCTTGTTTTGTGGCAGGTTGCGTGCGTCCAGGGAATGGGGTCATGTTGAACCATTGCCATTACACTTTTATTAGTGCGGAGGGCTATAGATATAATGTGTTTTGGTTCCTTGTCAGACAATACTACAAGGCTCAGCGAATGTAAATCTCCGAGGCTTAGGAAGGAACATAATGAAGCAAAAGCTTTTCTTCCGTTCCCCTTCCATGCCAATCTCATTTATGCTTGACGGAAAAAAAAAAAAACAACTGGGAATCTGTGTATTAGCATCATGAATGCGTTTCCTCTTTTAGCAGTTATGACAAGTGCTCGCTGTGCGTGTTTTAGAATTCTGAATATTCAACTACTTAAAAATAACATTTAAAAGTTACTTTAACAATCTAGCTTACGTTGGCCATACACTAGTAGAATTTTGTTCAGAATTTTTCATTTTAGAAAGTTCATTCGATTTTTTTTTTTAACTATTTGCCCTCCTGAGGATTTCCCCCCTTCCTGATCAGGCCATTTTTTTTGCCTTATGGCGCTGCAGTACTTTAACTGACAATTGCGTGATCGTTCAATTCTGCACCCAAATGAAATTTACGTCCTTTTTGCACCACAAATAGTGCTTTCTTTCGGTGGTATTTGATTGCCTTTGTGTTTTTTTATTTTTTTGTGCTATAAGCAAAAAAAGACACAATTTTGAGAAAAAAACAATATTTTTGACTTTTTGCTATTAAACCAGTAAAACAATTTGTCCAATAAAAAAGTTTTAAAAATCAAATTTCATCATAAATTTGGGCCAAAATGTATTCTGCTCCGTGTCTTTGCTAAACAAAAATCCCAATACGTGTAAATGAATTGGTTTACATGAAAGTTATACCGTCTGCAAATGGTGCTATATATACTGGGATGTTTTTTTTCACTAGTAATGGCAGCAATCGGCGACTTATAATGGGACTGTGACGGGCATTCTGACACTGGGGGAACTGGCTTGGTGTCACTGACATCCCCAGTGACATCAATACAGTGATCAGTGCTAATGAAAAGCACGGACACTGTACTAATGGCACTAGGCAGGAAGGGGTTAACATCTGGGGCAATCAAAGGGTTAACTGTGTGCTGTTTTACTATGTGTGCTGTGTATTTATTTTCCACTGTAAGCACACTGCTTTGTATGGCTCTGCATATAGAAAGTGCAGGGTCTGGAGGAGGACCAGAGGACAAATGGAGTCAGTTACCAGAGTCTGCTGAATGCTGAGACCAGGAGAGGCAGAGATGAGGGGGGTCCTGCAGCTGCACTGAGTGGTGCAGGATTTAGAATGGAACTCTACATTTCATATTGGAACTGGCAGGTGGAACAGCTTCTATAAATGTATGTCATCTGAGTATTTATCTGTTTACCTGGCAGTCAGCTTCAAAAGTTACTAATAGATGAAGAAGCTTGGGTTGATGCGAAGCAGTTTCCAAAGATGCCGATCAATATTGACCAATGTGCTGTTCATCTTATAATTTATGGCTCCATTTAAGCTGCGTAAAACAAGAGAATATAAATCATGATTGACCTTGTCATTTGTATTTCCTCCTAGTGAATGAATGGCTTCTAAAGTGAACCTATTAGTCAACCCACCGAGAAGAGTCGCCAAGTCGCCCGTCGGCCTGGATTGACATAATTTGCACCAAGCTCCATCCACGTCCTTGGACATGTACTTCATTAACAGCACCCATCATGTGCAGTTTGGCGGCAAAAAAGAAAAAAAAAGCAAAAAAAGAAAAAAAAAAAAAAAAAAGAAAGAAAAGCAAAACTTAATAAACGTTTTAAAAACGTCCATAAAACCTCAAGGGACGAGGCAAACTCGCTACGGTTTCTGACAATTTACAACCAACGCAGGCGAAGACTTAACTGCCTTTGTACATACAGATGGCTTTCTTTCTATTTAAAAAAAAAAACATTTGCTTCGGACACTTTAGAAGTGGATCCATAACCTCATTCCACGAATTTTGGGAGTCCCCTTGACCTGCTTTATCATAACCGCATATGGAATATAAAAAAAAAAAAAAAAGAGAGAGATACGCGAGAGCGGATGTGAACGAAAAAGAAAAGACTGTTTCTAGGCTACATTTGTTCGGTTTACTTCCTAACGAGACGACGAGTGATTATATGTATAATATATATATTATTATTAAAGAGTATAAAGACATAAAATTATTTATTTCCTCTTCAATAGCTCCCTAAAAAAAAAAGAAGACAAAAAAATTTTGTTATTCAGCTAAAATTGTCATTGTTTTTTTTTTCTGTTAGCTTTTTTTTATGATTATTATTTTATGCTGCATTTTAGTCATTTTTATGTTCTACACAGCTGTCTCCACCATCCGTAATCCCATCCAATGCCTCTACTTTCTCAAGTTTTTGTTTCCGAAAATTGCACAGAGAATCTGGCTGCAGCTCCAGGAGGAATCCATTTTTTTTTTTCGACTGAGCTGTTTTATTCCCTTTTTTGTTTTCCATTTCATTTCAGAATAAGTAAAGGTTGTCACCCTTTTCTAAGACTACTCATTAATTGTGTTTGATTACTGTCAGCATCTTAATAAATGTTATTAAAGATCTTGTAATAATTAGAATGGTTTTATTATATGGGAATCCAGAAAACTTGCCATAAGCTATGCCATTAGTGTATGTCTGAGGAAAATTTAAAAAAAAAACAATTTAGGACATTTTTGCAATAAATTCACATTTTCCCATGTTTTATCCCTTTAAAATATTGGCCCTGCCAAAAATCCAGTGAGCTCCTAACTTCCTGTGTACAATCGGCCGTACTCTAATTACATCACTCCCAGTGGTGTATTTAACTTTTGTGCTGCCCTAGGCAACACCAAAATTGGCCCCCCAACACCCCCCCCCCCCCCCCCGTCTGCAGAAAGAGCCTGACACCAATCAACACCCCCCCCCCCCCTTTGCAGAGAGAGCTCCTCATTGGCCAAACTGCCCCTTTCCTCCCCATACTAGAGAGCTTTCCACTACTACTGCCCCCCATACACACTGCCCCCCCCAGTCAAGAGAAAAAAAGACACTCACCTTCACCTTCCCATCCCTGGGAACGCATACACCATCAAGCATCCCACAGCCTCTTTCAGATCCCACCTGGTCCCCACGCCGCATGTGTCCCTTCTTCCTTCCCTTCTTCCAGGGGGTGGTGCTGCCCCCCTGAAAAATTACATCCTAGGCAAATGCCTTGTTTGCCTTGTGGTAAATACACCCCTGATCACTGCACAAAAGACACTTTATTTCCAGGTCTGTTGTCTCTGATGTAAGTGGGAAATAGCGCTGGACCCTTGTAACTAGAGAAGCATTTCTCAACCAGGGTTCCTCGGAACCCTGAGGTTCCTCCAGAGGTTGCCAGGGGTTCCTTGAGCAATTTTTGACTCCCAGATAAGTTCCCACTGACACCACTGAACTTTTCAACTATCTGTAATGGGGTAATTCTTTCCAATGCCAACAAGTGTAAGGACCATTCTTCCCACTGACCATCACATGAATTGTAGATAGTCATTTTTGGCAGGGGTTCCCTACGAGCAGAAAATTACTTCAAGGTTTCCTCTGTGCTGAAAAGGTGGAGAAAAAAGCCGAACTAGAGGTTGGTTATTGGCAGGTATCTGAGTGACAAGTATAAAAGGAATCGCTTCCAATGGGTTGTCTCCCAACTGTGAGTAGTGGTGGTAGACTCCATTGAAGTCTAGGGCTGCTACCTTTCTGGTATGACAATGAGGCCGTCTCAGCAGGAAATACTTTGGAGAGTGAGAAGGAGCGCCCAATGTCCATCAGGTGCTCCCTCTCACCCAACAAAGTAGGTCTGTTGTCCAAAAATACCTGCCCATAGCCACACCCTGCTGATGCGTTTTGCCCTAATTGGGCTTAGTTGTAGAGCTGTGTATCCCAAAAATGCTGATTTTACAGCGCAACAGAGTGAAGACAGGCTTTTGCAGCACAAACACAAGGATGAGGGGAGTCTGGAGCGGTACTCAATGGACTGGATCTCCTAGCTTGTTTGGGCTGACAACAAGGTGCTTCTGTTGCATTGAAATCCCAAATCTGGAGTACAGAATTCCCCCCCTCTGTCCCCTCTGCAAATGCATACAGTGGTTTCTATTCCAGCAAAACAATGTTGCTGCCTTGACACTAAAGCAGAGGAAGAGCTTTTGGGGGATGTAGTTCTGGGCGCGTGCCTCTGTCAATAGGAATAGTGTCCCCAGCAGCTGCCTGGTAATGATGTCACAAGGAGTAATAAAAGCTGTTTCTCACCAAAGGGAAAATGGTAAAAGAACAAAACATACTACTGGGACATGCACTAGAGAGGGAGGTTGCTCTGGACTGAGACAAGTACACACTGTAGAGGGAAATATTTTGTTCATTTTTTATGTCTGAGGTTTACAACCACTTTAATGCAAAATCCCTTGTAATCCTTGAGATTAAAAAAGGTGCAAACATTCAGGAGGTGGGGGAGGATGGCCCCCTGAACATCTGCCAGATGCTGCTATAGCACCCTCTGAAAAGTGATCCACCCTGGTTCAGTCATCAAGGGCTGCAGGCACTGCCTCCAAAAAAGCCCTTAGGCTGCATTCACACTTGAGCATTTTGTAGGTTGAAGCTCCAAAAAAGCTCAAACCTAAAATATCAATTCTTCTCTATAGCGCCTGTTCACACACACTGATCGCATGAACAGGCACTATAGAGAACAATTGATTTTTTGCGCTTTTTTGGAGCTTCAATGTACAAAACGCTCAAGTGTGAATACAAGTCTTAATGTTTCCTTTAAAAAAAAAAAAAAAAATAAAAATACCTCCTACAACAGGACACTCTCAGTACTTACCTCTTCAACAGGGGGAGACTTTCTTTGCTCTTTTCAAATGCTATGGTCTTCAGAGGGGTGGTCACATCCAGAGTATCAGATGTCTGTGATTTCCCCCCCCCCCCCCCCCCCCCCCCCATCCAAACAATTTGTGGTTCTATCTGCCTGCTCCTAGGTCCACAGGACACAGTAATGACTTAAATTGGTCATACATGGGCCTTTTTTTTTTTTTTTTCCGTTCAACCAGTGGATTGAAGGAAAAAACTGACCCGATTCCCCCATCCACACACTCGATGTGGATGGGGGAATCCTCCCCACTGAGCTATTGTATTCTGACACTGGGGAGACTTCCCCACCATCAGAATACATAGATCAGCGTTGCAGCATGCGCCGCTAATCGAGTGAAAATATATTGACAGGGTAGTGAACGGAAATCAATAGATAGATCGAATTCTGTTCAACCACAGTGGCCACGCATGGCTCAAAATTCGGCTGTATGTATGGTTTTCTTTAGGGCCACTCTGAGGAACCACAGTGCACAGAAGGGGACCAAGCATGCTGTACATTTGAAAGTGTAAAACCTGGTATGCACGGGTCGAATATCACCCATCATCAGCCGGTTCAACAGAAACCGGCCAACATTTGGCCCGTGTGAGAAGCAGCCTGTCTAGCTTTTGTAGAACGGGCATACTAGAAAACCATCTGATCTGCATCTGAACAGCGCTTGCAGCCAATGGCTGCAAGTGCTGATCGATGTGTACTGGTGGGGGGCAATCCCCCTGTCAGAACACAATAGCTCAGTGGGAGATCAATGGACTAACATCACAGTCAGTACATAGACCTCCTTGTAAGCTCCCAGTGGGCTGATCGAAAAAAAACTCAGTGTGTACCAGGCATTCGACATGAAGGTGAACCCATGAGGAGAGCAAAATTAGCATTCACCCCCTACCAGACAGGTACATTGGTGGGAAGAGGATAACACACTGATAACAAATCTGTCACTGATCTGAGACAAAGAGACATTTACTAGGATAGATATTTAAACAGATAGACAAGTAGATAGATAGAGATATATTATATAAATCTATAAATTAAAAAAGAAATTAAAAAGACGATAGATAGATAGATAGATAGATAGATAGATAGATTTCAATGAATGAACGAACGAATGATAGATAATCAATGAATGATAGATAGAAAGAAATGAAATATGAATTGAGATAGATAGATAGAGAGAGAGAGAGAGAGAGAGAGAGAGAGAGAGAGAGATATGGAATAGATAGATAGATAGATAGATAGATAGATAGATAGATAGATAGATAGATATGAGATAGATAGATAGATAGATAGATAGATAGATAGATAGATAGATATGATATAGATAATAGATAATAGATAGATGATAGATAGGATAAGAAGGATGGACAGTACAGTGGCTAAATGGTTAGCACTTCCGCCTGGCAGTACTAGGGTCATTGGTTCGAATCCCAGCCACGGCACCACCTGCCTGGAGTTTGCATGTTCTCCCTGTGCCTGCGTGGGTTTCCTCTAAGTACTCCGGTTTCCTCCCACAATGCAAAGACATGCTGGTAGGTGAATTGGCTCCGGTCTAAATTGTCCCTAGTATGTGTATGTATGAATGTGAGTTAGGGACCTTAGATTGTACACCCCTTGAGGGTTAGGGACTGATGTGAATGTACTATATATATGTAAAGCGCTGCGTAAATTGACAGCACTATATAAGTACCTGAAACAAAGGATAGAAGAGAAGAGTTTCTATAATGGAGTATTTTATTGGCTCCATCCTAGACACTGATATCATCATCTACAGCTGGCCTCAATCTGTGGCGTCTTCTGTCCCAGCTCTCGGTTCCTGACATCCGTAGGACATGATCTGGTGGGACTACCCAACATGAACCAGATTCTCACATAAATCATATGGCTAATGGCAAATCAATGAAAGGCACGGCTGAGCCATCATGACCCTTCAGTATTACCCAGCTAACAGAAAACTCAGTTTTCCTCAACAATGGACCTAACATGTATAATTGCTACACCAGCTATTCTGCGAGTTTCTTCCCTGTATTATACACCGAGGCTCATGATATGATTACAGGAGGCTAAAGATTTGCACCATATTTGCAGGATCTGCACAATCGCTCTGGAATGTTAATATTTACAAAACAGAAGCAGGTAAGGACTTGTATTAGCATTTTTTCAGTGATGATTTGTGCTGTGTGTATGTAGCTGATATGGATTCTACTATTTTATGTTATGGACAGAATCTACAACGTAGTACTGGTTAAGAAAACGTTTACTCAGCAGGGCAGATTCATCACAGTGCCCCTCCTCTCACATTTCCTCGGCAGTAAAGGCAGAAGGATGATGTGGTCCTGGAAATGAAGCTCCTGTAAGGGAAAGTGAAGCTCACACAATGCCAGAGAAGGGGGTAGGGCTAAACTCACTGACCACCAGTTATGTGGAGTAGGGGTGATCTGTAAACTGCTGACCACCAATGTTGGGGAAGAGGGTAATCTGAAGCCCACTGAGCACCAATACAAAGGAAGGAGTGATGTGAAGCCCACTGAGCACCAATACAAAGGAAGGAGTGATGTGAAGCCCACTGAGCACCAATACAAAGGAGGGAGTGATGTGAAGCCCACTGACCACCAATACAAAGGAGGGAGTGATGTGAAGCCCACTGACCACCAATACAAAGGATGGAGTGATCTGAAGCCCACTGACCACCAATACAAAGGAGGGAGTGATCTGAAGCCCACTGACCACCAATACAATGGAAGGAGTGATCTGAAGCCCACTGACCACCAATACAAAGGAAGAAGTGATCTGAAGCCCACTGACCACCAATACAAAGGAAGGAGTGATCTGAAGCCCACTGACCACCAATACAATGGAAGGAGTGATCTGAAGCCCACAGACCACCAATACAAAGGAAGGAGTGATGTGAAGCCCACTGACCACCAATACAAAGGAAGGAGTGATCTGAAGCCCACTGACCACCAATACAAAGGAGGGAGTGATCTGAAGCCCACTGACCACCAATACAAAGGAGGGAGTGATCTGAAGCCCACTGACCACCAATACAAAGGAATAAGTGATCTGAAGCCCACTGACCACCAATACAAAGGAATAAGTGATCTGAAGCCCACTGACCACCAATACAAAGGAAGAAGTGATCTGAAGCCCACTGACCACCAATACAATGGAAGGAGTGATCTGAAGCCCACTGACCACCAATACAAAGGAAGAAGTGATCTGAAGCCCACTGACCACCAATACAAAGGAAGGAGTGATCTGAAGCCCACTGACCACCAATACAAAGGAAGGAGTGATCTGAATCCCACTGACCACCAATACAAAGGAAGAAGTGATCTGAAGCCCACTGACCACCAATACAAAGGAAGGAGTGATCTGAAGCCCACTGACCACCAATACAATGGAAGGAGTGATCTGAAGCCCACAGACCACCAATACAAAGGAAGGAGTGATCTGAAGCCCACTGACCACCAATACAAAGGAAGGAGTGATCTGAAGCCCACTGACCACCAATACAAAGGAAGGAGTGATCTGAAGCCCACTGACCACCAATACAAATGAAGGAGTGATCTGAAGCCCACTGACCACCAATAGTGAATGAGTTGGGCTTGATCATTACTGACCACAAATGACAAGGAAGGAGAGATCTGCATCCATCCTGCTGACCACTGATGTTGGGAAAGGAAGGAAGGATCTTAAACCCACTGATTACTAATGCCAAAGAAGAGAATCTGAATCCCATTGGCCACCAATGCTGGGGAAGATGGTAAGCTGAACCCCACTGAGCACCAATGCCAAGAAAGACGTGATCTGAATTCCACTGAACACCAATGATGGGGAAGGGGCAGGGGGTTTGAACCCCACCAACCACCAATTTTGTGCAAGTGGGGGATCTGAACCCTACTGACCACCAATGCCAAGAAGGGGTGATCCAAATCCTCGACCACTGGTGCTGGGGGTAAGGTTGGGATTTGAACCCTCACTAATGACCAATACAAAGGAAGGGGTGATGTGATGCTCACTGACCACCAATAATGGGAAAGGGGGATCTTAACCCCAATGACCAAAGCAAAAAAAATGGGTTAATCTGAATCCCACTTACCACCATGATTAAAAAGGGAGAGGATTTCTACCCCACTGACCACCAGTTCTGTGAAGGAGCTGACAGGGGAGAGAACTGTATTCTTTACATATAGTTTTCTGCGTAGAAATCTGTTAAGTAAATAATAATAAAATACAATCATAATAAGTATTATAATAAATAATACATATAATAAAAGGAATAAAAATAGTAAAAATATTATAATAAATAATACAATAAAGGCTATCGCTTAAACATCAAACTTTCCACATATAAATCTGTTAAGTAAATAATAAATACAATCATAATAATTATTATAATAAAGAATACATATAATAAAGGAATAAAATTGTAAAAAATAATATAATAAATACATTAAATAAAAGCTAATGCTTAAACATCAAACTTTCCGCATAGAAATCTGTTAAATAAATAATAAATACAATCATAATAATTATAATTAATACATATAATAAAAGGAATGAAAAATAGTAAAAATAATATAATAAATTATACATTAAATAAAGGCTATCGCTTAAACATCAAACTTTCCACATAGAAATCTGATAAATAAATAATACAATAATAATAATAATAAATAATAATATAATAAAGGGATAAAAGTAAAAATAATATAATAAATAATAAATTAAATAAAGGTTATCATTTAAAATCCAAACTTTCTGCATTGGAATCTGGTAAATAAATAAAATAACAGTAAAAAAAATATATAAAACATATATAAAGTTATATTAAAATAATAAATTATTGAAAGGTTATCACTCAAACTTTCTGCATAGAATTCTGTAAAATAAAATAATAATAATAATAATAAAGTAATAATAATTATGTTGTAAAGCGCTGAGCAAACTGTTGGCACTATATAAAATACTGTCTAATAATAATAATAATAGTAATAATATAATATATAGTAAAAACATTAAATAAAGGTTGTCACTTAAACTCTAAAACTTTCTTCATAGAAATCTGTAAAATAAAATAATATAATAATTAAAATAACGGTCATCACTCTGTTGCTAGATAAAAAAAAAAAAAAAACTTTTTTGAAAAATCCTGTTAAAAATAAAAAACAGTTTATACCTGTCCCACCGCCCATCCCCTTGCACTCTTGATGAGCTACCATTACTATAGGCTCTGTATCATTATCATTCTTCCAGGAGTGTCAGATGCCTGACTCCCCGCTCTGCACTGTGGTCCCAGTCCCTATGTCAATGCTGAGTCCTGCAGAGATGTAACGACTGATGGAACCAGAGAGCACAGACATTACAATAACAACTCAAATAATACCCATTGAGAACACGCGATAGATTCTATAGGTTCCATAAAGCAACCACTGTTATTACGCACATTGCCATGGAGCAGTTTTGCCGCCTCCGTTCTTACTGTATATTTATATTTTAGCACTTTTCTAGCACTTTAATTATGTAGAAGCGCTTTTATACATCACTTTGTGCTGATTTACAATGCCCGCCACCATCCCATGGGCTTGTATTGAAGGAGCTTTCCATCTTTATAACTCTCTTTCTATTATTTCCATTTCTTTTTACGAGGCTTTCTAACATAAGTGTGGTTGTTTTGCTTCATTTTATCACTTTGTGTCTATGTTTATAGTTGATAAATGTATTATCGTTACTCCTTTGTGCTTATAGTACATCTCCCGCTGATGTGCGCTGGTGGAGAAGCGCTGGGTAATATTATTGTGCATTTCTGTGCAGGAACTGTTCTATATCACTTTGGCAAAGCCCGTTCTATTGTGCTACGGCTGGCTTATGAAATTTTCTTGAAAAACTCATTCTGGCTTTAGCCGGCTACAAAAAGGGAAACAGACAATTGTGGGTAATGCATAAAAGTGAAAAGGGAGCTTTGTAAGTTGGCCTCATCTGACCAATTAGAGACCCTCATTTAGTGGTGGAACGGTGGAAATCTGATTGACTGAAACTTTAGATGTGATGCTCTGCACTGGTACCAAAGCCGTCTGCTTCTCCTTTCCAGCTCTGTGTATATCCAAAGACATACACTATATTGCCAAACGTACTGGGCCATCCCTCCAAATCATGTGATTCAGGTGTTCCAATCACCTCCATGGCCACAGGTGTATAAAATCATCACCTAGGCATGCAGACTGCTTCTACAAACATTGGTGAAAGAATGGGTCGCTCTCAGGAGCTCAGTGACTCCAAGCGTGGTCCCGTGATAGGTGGTCTCCGGTGCAATAAGTCCATCCGTGACATTTCCTGGCTACTAAATATTCCACGCTCAACTGTTAGTGGGATTATAACAAAGTGGAAGCAACTGGGAACAACAGCCACTCAGCCACCAAGTGGTAGGCCACATAAAATGACAGAGCGGGGTCAGACCATGCTGAAGCGCACAGTGCGCAGAAGTCACCAATTGTCTGCAAAGTCAATAGCTAAAGACCTCCAAACTTGGTGTGGCCTTCAGATTAGCACAACAACAGTGTGTAGAGAGCTTCATGGAATGGGTTTCCATGGCCGAGCAGCTGCATCCAAGCCTTACATCACCAAGTGCAATGCAAAGCACCGGATGTAGTGGTGTAAAGCACGCCACCACTGGACTCTAGAGCCGCGGAGATGTGTTCTCTGGAGTGACCAATCACACTTCTCTGTCTGGCAATCTGATCGACGTGTCTGGGTTTGGCGGCTGCCAGAACGGTACTTGCCTGACTGCATTGTGCCAAGTGCAAAGTTTGGTGGAGGGGGGATTATGATGTGGGGTTGTTTTTCAGGGGTTGGGCTTGGCCCCCTAGTTCCAGTGAAGGGAACTCTTCAGGTGTCAGCATACCAAGACATTTTGGACAATTTCATGCTCCCAACTTTGTGGGAACAGTTTGGGGATGGCCTCTTCCTGTTCCAACATGACTGCACACCAGTGCACAAAGCAAGGTCCATAAAGACATGGAGGAGCCAGTTTGGGGTGGAGGAACTTGACTGGCCTGCACAGAGTCCTGACCTCAACCCCATAGAACACCTTTAGGATGAATTAGAGCGGAGACTGTGAGCCAGACCTCCTCCCCCGACATCAGTGCCTGACCTGACAAATGTGCTTCTGGAAGAATGGTCCAACCGTCCCATAGACACCCTCCTAAACCTTGTGGACAGCCTTCCCAGAGGAGTTGAAGCTGTTATAGCTGCAAAGGGCGGGGCCAACTCAATATTGAACCCTACGGACTAAGACTGGGATGCCATTAAAGTTCATGTGTGTGTAAAGGCAGGCGTCCCAATACTTTTGGTAATATAGTGTAAACAACTGGGGGTAACAGGGAAACACAACAGCACACTGGACAGTGCAGATAAGTCCATCTTCAAGGCTGAACTCCAGCTTGGACCTGTGTAAGTATTCACATTCTGCAAGTAGAAACCATAGATGCCCGTGACTTTCCCTACCCCCTCCCAATGAAGGAGGGGGAGTATTCAGGAAAAATGGGAAATTTTATATGGTGCACTTAAGCAAAAACAACCCAAAATGGATAAAATCACTTATTTATATCAAATTTTAAAAGAAATAAATGATCCCTCAAGATTATTATAAATATAAGAAACCTTATCTAGTGTTTTTTTTTTAAATACTAGATATGGTTTGTTAAAATATTTATAATAATCTCGGGGGATAATTTTATTTATTTTTTACATATACTGTATAACTGAGGGTAAAAATAACACAGAACAGCACACTGGATAGTGCAGATAAGTCCATCTTGAAGGCCAAACTCCAGCTTGGACCAAAGTAAGTATGCATAATCCAAAATTAGAAACCATAGATGTCCATGACTTTCCCTACCCCCTCCCACTGAAGGGGGGGGGGGGGGGTAGTATGCATGAAAAGTGGGGATCTAAATGGTGCACTTAAGCAAAAACAACCCAAAATGAATAAAATCACTAATTTATTATTTGGATCAAAGTTAAAAAAAAAAATAGAAAGATCCTCCAAGATTATTAGAAATATTTAAAGATGCCATATCTAGTGTTTGTTTTTTTTTATATACACTAGATATGTTTTTATATACACTAGATATGTTTTTATATACACTAGATATGTTTTTATATACACTAGATATGTTTTTTTATACACTAGATATGGTTTATTAAAATATTTATAATAATCTTGAGGGATCTTTTTTTTTTTTTTTTTTTTTTTCCCCTGATAGGATTTTGATTTGGGCGGTTCTTTCTTGATCTTGATTCTTTTTATCCCACAATGATTTGGTATATACATTTTTTTTAAGCAACTCACGTGATGAATACATCTCTTATTGGTTAGTGGTATATCTCTGTCATTTCCTGACATTGATATACATGTCAGGAAATGTCTCCTATGTGAGTAAGCCAGTTCCGTAGTGACTGCCACCGACCCCCATACCCCCCCCCCCCCCCCCCCAGAAGTGCGAGCTGCAGTGCAATGCGCATGGGCATGAACACAAGTTTGCACTGGTTTCCTGAGAATTCAGTTTACCTTACAGTTCTGCATTCATTAAGGAAAATACGAGGCGTTCTCTCAATGGTGCTTATGCCAAATGCGCAAGTCCCCATACAAAACACTAGCCGCTGCACATTTCCTCATACACCCTCGCGGATTAATGGTAAAAAAGTCACTCATGCTAGGATTAGGCAGCGATTCTGGATCTGATTCTCTCTAAGACTCCCACTGGGACATGGAAGAGGATCGGTAACAACACAAGGAAAAGAGACAACATAACCGCACTAGTGTAATCCAGTTTATTGACACCCCGGTCACATCATACCCAACTTTGAAATCATTCGACTTACAGTGGAGTCGCACGATTTTAAAGTCAGGGGGACATGCCGATTTCAGGCGTGATTTACAAGAATATCTGACACAGATGTCTATGCAAATTGCACCAAAAGTAGTATATTTCCTTGTTCTGTCTCTCCAATCTAAGCATTGAAAGTGTGATCTCTGTAAGTTACAGTTGTGATGAGATAGCGATAACTTCAATCTTAGTTGAATAACACAGGCAGTGACTTGATCGGATGACACCTTGTAGATCTTGTGAAGTTTATTCCATAAACTGAGAGAATCTTACAACAATGAACATCGGATAGGTCAAAAGATCATCATCATG